AAAAACGCTTATAACGACAATACAAAATAGTAGTAGATTTGAAAATTCTCAAAAATGGAGCTAAGTTTTAGAAGTAGTAAAGCAAAAAACGTTGGAGAAAAAATAGTAGTAGAAACATAATTTCGGGAAAAAGCTTTATAATTATATAAAATACAATTACAACTGGAAAGTAACTCAAAGAAATAGTAGTAGATGTAAAATATCTAAAAAAAATAGTCGTACATCACTCTAAAAAGCACCAAAATATTTTTTTCCAAATATCTAATTTTTTAATATTAGTCAAGAAATAAAGCCGAAAAAACTAAAACGCTAGATTATAAATATGCATCAGCTAAATGCTCTGAGCTAGTTAATATCACCAGCGGCGCATAAAGATCTAAATCAACCAACAAAGCTTGGCATTGGCTACGAGTACACACCGGCTCCTAGTATACGAGCTAAACATAAAATCATCCAACTAGCGGGTTAAAGCAGCAATAGTAGTTGTAAAACAGTTATGCATTCAAACCGCCCACCACCACCCACTTAAGTTTCACTTGTCTGTACTTTGAACTACTTGAACCCAATATTCATGTGAAAAGTGGAAAAATGCAAATGCGAACGCGAACGCTAGGGAAAGCAGCTGAGCCAGGCAGCCACAGGTTGTTGCCTGAAACTGTGTCAATTCGACAAGCCAGAGCCACAAGCGTGCGACAGAAGGGGTTAGATACTATATGTATATACATATATATTTTATTATGTGCTTGTTGTTGCTGGCTGCGTTTGCGCACAAATTGCCACACAAACTCACGGCACAAAGTGAAACCAATTAAAGTGTTGCATTGCGTTCGCGGCGCCACTTCCAGACGCAACAGAGTTGCGGGAAAAATCCCATAAATTTTGCGCAAATGAAATATAGACGGACAGCGGGTGGCACACAGTAGGCGCGCACAGTAGTTGCAACAGCGGCCGCAGCTACTGTGAAAGATGAGCGCTTGAGATATGTGGCAACCCTGCCAGCCAGCAGGATCTAATTGCGCGCTTGAGCCAGACAATGCGTTGTGGCAAGCGATGCGTGTGTACTACGACGAGTGGAGGCAAGTGGGCGGGTGATGCTGAAAAATGGAGCATAAAAATGATGAAATGAAAGAGTTGAACGTTGGAAAAATTATTTACAGAAAAAAAAAAAAAAAAATTGAAATTAATAGCAAGCGCTTGAGGCAAATGAATTAGTTCAACTGTTGCCACATGCAACAAAGGCAAATCTGTGCAACATAATGCTATTGTTGTAAAGCAAAATAAATGAAAATACATGTTTATGTGTGTGTGTGTATGCACTTCTACAAAACTTGCGCGCAATCGCCTGCCATTGCACTAATTTGTGCGCTGTTGCAAGCGCTTATTTTGCATACTTAATTTTTTCACACACACACACATACACACACTTACATATGCATATAATGTATGCACATGTTTACTTTAATAACTACAAATGTTGTGATCGCTGCCTTCATAATTCATTTTCCCATCTATCTGCCTCACACACATACATACACATGTAAGCACTAATCACAAGTGACGCTAATGAATTGCTGGCGGTGTTGAGCTGTGGCAAAACAAATATTAACTGATTTCATCGACAATGCGAGTCGTTGCCTCATTTACATACGCCCCAGGTGGCAATCACTTGTCTTCACTTGCCTTGCGGCGTGTCTTGGCCAAAAGATAATTAAACTTATATGAAAAAAATAGTTAAAATAACACAACATAAATTTAAATAAATGACAATGTGCTTAAAAGTGTAGCGATCATTAGCTACGCTCGAGTTCGCACACAGATTCGCTGCAGTCATTAAGCTGCTGGGGAAGGCGGCATAATTATAGCATAAAAGGCATGAACTTTGATGAAAGTGTTAGAGTTAACTGTTGTATATGAATTTTGAGATCAAGAAAAGAAATTAAAATGCAATTATGTGAAGAATTACGGTGCTGGACCTAGTGATCCTTAACAGCTTTTACAAGATAGAGTTTGCATCAATTGTCGAAGCTATAAATTTTAATAGAATATATTAAAAAAAATCAAAACAGTACCAAAATTGTCTAGTGGCACTCTTTAATAATACACCGAGAGCTTTATTTTGTGAAAGCAAAGAGGGGCTATTAACTTTGAGTATCACTGAGTTAGAGGACTAGGTAGTGAAACAAATCGCATAAAAAAGTATGAACACTAATAGAAAAATTTATTCCTGGCATAGAAACGAAGTTAATTATTTCGGGATCCCGAAAAATGAACAAAATATTTCGAGATTATTTTTACTTAAACAAGCTAGCATATAAATTTTTAGAATAAATCAATTTTCAATCACTGAGATTTGGGATTGAAATAAAATGTCTTTAGTAATCAACCGAAAGCTTTCTTCTGCGAAAGCTCGACTGTGCTCTAAAGAGGCTCTTTGAGGATCACTAAGTTAAACGGCTAGTTAATAAAGTAAAACATCCAAAAAAAATTTGAATACCAATAGAAAAAGTTATTGCTGGTGTAGAAACAAAGTTAATTATTTCGGGATCCCGAATAATCAACAAAATATTTTCTTTTTACTTAAACAAGCTCTTTTTACTTAAAGCCATTTTCAACCACAGAAATTCGGGATTGAAATAAAATTTCGGGATTATATTTCGGTATTAAGCTTACTATACATGTACATAAAACTATTTCCACTAATTAAGCATAGAAAATGTGCTTTATGTTTGCTTGTTTCCCTTCACACCAAAATCAGAAAAAATTTTGATGAACGTCGAAAAGTTTTTTAGTTTATCTTTGAAATCTTTAAAGTTAGTTTATCTTTGAGGTATAAATTTCCTCCGTAAGAATTAAGTGAAAGCACTTTAAACCTACTACTTGCATTCGAAAGCTCTACAGTTTCCAACTTTAAAGTACATAAATTGAACTATAAATTTTGAAATTTATAAGAAATTCACGATTAAAAATTTAGTGAAGGCTCGCTAAACCTATCTTTTATAGACTTTATGAGTTCGCAACAAGATTTCGTATTCACTCGTAAACTTAACTCTATATTAATTTATTAATTCTCTACTTCACTTTCTCTTTTTTCACCCTCTAAACAGAAAACCCATTGTCTTCCCACCACCACAGAAGCATTACAAAATCGTTTTCATTAAGGCGCCATCACCACCAGCACCAACCGCACCAGTGATTCCAGTTATACCACAAAACGAAGAGAAGACACTGGTCTATGTGTTGGTCAAGAAACCCGAAGAACAACCCGAAATCGTCATTCCCACACCGGCACCTACACAGCCCAGCAAACCCGAAGTTTACTTCATTCGCTACAAGACACAAAAGGAAGAGACCGGTCCATACCCGAACAGCATTGCGCCACCACCATCGGGCGATTATGGTGCACCAGCAGCGCCATCGGCACCCTCAGCGCCCAGCTCATCATATGGTGCACCATCGCACTAAATTTTGTGAGCGCAGCAAAGGAAAAAAGGAAAAAATGATGGTTAGGAAAGAAAAGATCCAAAGCATAATTTGCTCTTACTAGAAAAGAAGCAATGATGAAGCAGCGAGGAGGTGTAGTTAATAAGAAAAACACTTTTTAGAGGGGAAAAGATAAAGTTTAAACGGATGTCAGGAGAAACGTATGTTCGAGGAATGTAAAATGTTGCAGATTATCCATTGAGTAGCGTGTGGCAGTGTTGTTGTATGTGTAGAAGAAACGAAGAATCCATGAAAACCCGTTTTCACATAATTTGTAGTCTACTTTTGCGCGCCTAAACTACCATAAAGTTAAGTTTGTTGTTTTTTATGTGGAGATTTGCTCTATTATTTTACTTGTACTTTGACTAACATACGCTACGATTTTAATATTTACTCGTTTTTATTATTAACTATTACAATAATTTCTAACTAAGCAAATGAAAAGCGAAAAAAACTTTTTTTTTAACGTGTGACAACCAATAACGCCTCGAAGGTCCAGTTTTTCTGGTCCGTAATCAATCCTTTTGTTTTTATTTACGAATATAAACGATTTTTAAGTTTTTTGCGAAAATATTTGTGAAAGCACAAAAGCTCTAACGAAAGCTCAAAAGCACTTTTGGAATTTGCCAGCAAATATTTGTAAAATAGTTATTTTTGTTGTTTTCCATAAGCGTCGCGTTGATAATGAGCGTGCTTGCGCTCTTTACAAGCTGCCCTACTCCTCCGTCTCTCTCTCTCTCTCACTCTCTCTCTCTCTCTCTTTAGCGGCTCCTTGCTTGTGCGCTCATTTGTCAACGCTATCGACTGTTTGTTTCATAAATTATTTTTGTTTTACTATTTAGTTTGTACGGATGCGTTATTCATAAACAAAAAAAATATTACAAAAAATATATTTTTATTCTCTTTGTTCTCTTAGTTTTTAATATGTACACTCATACACTCACACATATTTGTTAATTTTTTTTTATTCACACCAATCGTTTATTTTTAAAGCATTTCAATTAAACTCTCCGATTTTATTCTTGTTTGTGTAATGTTCTTGATAAAAAAAAAGTACATACACACATACGTACATACATACACGTGCATGTGCACTACAACTGTACTTGTGTAGGTATGTAAGTAGATAATTAACATATTACGAAAATGTAGAGGAAATGTTAGGTTGATGATGGATTTAATAAAGATCGTTTTTATACATAACAGTATTTGTTGTTGTTGTTTTTATTACTTTTGATTTTTTCTTACTTTGACAGAGGACTTAAGGAAATGATTTAATTTTAGAAATTGTAGTAGAGCATGGAAATTATTAGGGTGTGTCCGTTTGCTCTACAAGAAAAATTTTACTATAGCTTCAATTCTGGAGTTCTCCAAATCCATTGACTCTGATGGAATAAGCATGCTGATGATAAAGCACCTAGGCTCGGCGGATGTAAGCTTCCTCAACAAAATCTTTAACCTCTGACTGACCACTCTTCAAATACCTGATGTGTGGAAAATCAGAAAACACTACTGAAACCAGGGAAACCCGCCAACGAAAGGAAGTCCTATTGTCGTTTTCTCTGCCCGGTAGTGAAGACACTTGAGATCATGCTACCCCCAACCTTCAATTACCACCAGAGTCTAGAAAGTAAAATGCATATCACTACCACAGCAATTTGCGTCATAAAGGCGCAGAAAGTTCATGGCCTGAACGAAAAACCTCCTTGTGAGAGGACGATCCTCTTAGCGAGGGACTTGTCAAAAGTCTTTGAACAGGTGAATTACTTGTATGACTACCTGAACGGTCGGCAATCAGCCGTACTGTTTCGAGGTAAAACTTCTAAATTGAAATTGTCCTCTCCCAGTTGCTAGTTAATTTCAACATTTCGAAACCATCCCTGCAGCCACCTTTTTGAAGCGGAACTATCTCCTAGGCGTATCGAGATATCCTTCCATAACCACGTCAACGATACAAGACAATGCGACGAACAGACTTAGACGGAACTAATTTTAGACATGCACGTTGAGAAATATTTGGGACCGGTACTGCTGTCTGGAAGGTAAGCGTCACTCGAGCTCACAATCTGAGCATTCTGATTCTGGGCAGTATTTAGAGTTGTACGAGGAAACAGGGATCTATTATTTCAGTCCGGAGTCCAAACGATAGTCATCCGAGAGGATCAAAATCGACTATTATTCAGCATTCTGAGAACATTCTTAGAACAAAGTTGTAGAAAAAGGATGATCTGGGTGGGAACTTCAGTGACTTTTTTCTGTTCACTGATTTCAGAAGAATGCTATTTGGAAAAAAATGTTGCGATTATGAAGATGTAATCATCGAGATTGAGCCAAAATATGCTTGAAGCAAAAGACAAACCATAAAACAATAATTTAATTAAACAGTTGGAGAATCCCTATAATCCCCGCATTAACCTCAAATTAAATCACAAAAATATAATTAAAGCAAAAAATGTGTTTCTCCTTGTTTGATTTCGGTCACTGTTTATATATAAAATCTATACAATTCTCTTTCAATCTATTTTAAAAACATTACATCCCACCCTAATTTGCTCCAACTCTACATAAGACAACTGCTTGTTGCTTCATTGAAGTTTGACTTTCTGCTTTCCTGCACCACCACTTGCCTAAATTTCGCTAAAAATAGTTGTCTACATACATGTCTGTGCATGTGCTCCTTATACTATACTCCCTCCTGCCAGCTACCACTTTCCATTTAACTGTCTATCAATTTGCATCTCTTGAGTGACGAACAACGCACAAAGAGAATGCTTAATAAAATTTACGCCATTAGCTGCTTACATTCTAACATGGCTACTTATGCCGGTACTTGTATGTAGTACTTGAGAGTATCTTTTTGACAGCGGCGGACTAGCTACCAGGTAGCATGTCTTCTAAGTAATATTGCTACAAGAAAGCCCGGAAAAGCATGAGCATAATCGAGTTGTAGACGTCTAACAAAGAGAATTCGAAATTTGATTGATTTTTGATAGATAATTGTATTTTGTCGGAGATTTTTCGGTTGGAGAGATACTTATTACCTTACTCTGGTAGAAAGAAATGGGGAAATTAACAGGGCAAAGTGGCTTGTTTTGTTGTGCAAGATGCGTTCCAAAGCAAACAGGACTTTAAAAAAAAAACAGAACAAAGGGTTTTTTATTCAAAATAAATTTATTTAATTCAAAATAGTCTCCTTCTGCTTCAATACAGCTTTTTGTACGGCCCAAAAGCATTTCGAACGAGTGTTTTAGTTCGTTAGCCGGTATGGCCGCCAGCCTTTTGAATGGCCTCCACATCTGCATAACGCTTTCCTTTCATGGGCAAATGCATTTTTCCGAAAAGGAAGAAGTCGCACGGCGTCATATGAGGTGAATACGGAGAGTGGTTAATGGTTAAAATATGATTTTTGGTCAAATAATCGGTCACGTGCGTCCTTCGAATGTTGCATTCTGAGCAATTTTCGGTCGTCAGTCAATTTGTGCGGAACAAACCGTGCACACACCTTTCGTAAGCCCAAATGTTCAGTCTAAATACGATAAATCGATGTCTTGGACATGTTCAATTTCATTTCCATGAATTTATATGATGATATCGGCTGATTTTTGATGAATTCACGCACAGTTTCGATGGAATTTTCGGTGATCATGAATTTAGATTGGCCCACATGCTCATCGTCATTTATGCCCTCCCGACCGCTTTGAAAACACTCGCGCTCTCTGTTATGTTAGGCAATCATCGCCATAAACTTGTTTCATCAATTGAAACGTTTCGGTAAAAGTTTAACCAATTTACAAAAAAAAAAAATTTAATGTTGGCTCATTTTCGCACCGATAACACAAACATACTGACACTTAAAACGCAATAACTGCACTTCCAATCAATGAAATGTCATGAAATTCTCACTGGACAATCAATAAACATAGCAGATTCTAACGCACCAATCGTCATATAGATGGCGCCACTAAGGGGCGCTAGATTTAAAAAGTCCTGTTCACTTTGGAACGCACCTTGTATGCGGACTCGGGGAAATGGTGAACCGATTCAATGCATTTTTAATGCACGCATCTACTATCGCCAGGAAAGAGTTTCCTCTGAATTTCAATGATATTTCCATCCGGTTTCGTATGGGTTTTAGAAATTTTTGGTCGTATGGTGGCATACTTATAAAGGAATTACTAGTGCAAAATTGTATACCGATATATAAATTGCTTCTTGATTTGTGTACTGGTTAGTGAAAGAATCAAATGAATTTTAAAATTGTGCTATGTGGAAAGTAGGAGCAAGTCCGGAGATATATGTTTTCCCCTAAAGGTGATCGGTGCCACGCCCAACGTTCAATTTTGATCCCGGCTCGTTAAATTTAAACATTTCTGGTGTCTTGTTTACTGATTTATTTCAAATATTTTACGCCACAGGTGCCCCTTGATACGGCGATTACAGTTTTACACTATATTTTAGTTTAGTGCTCAGTTATGGTCTTGCGATTAATGACGTTTTATGGACGCGGCAGTTGTCCAAGAAGTTGTCAAGGAATACATGTACCAAATTACATTATATCTGAATTTTTACTCAAGTTACAGACAGACGAACAGACAGTCACCCGGATTTCAACCTCGATTAGACTTAAGTGATACAAACAAGCATTGGGTGAATGAAACTATTACTACTGTGAGAAAAAAAATGGTTGTACTTTTTTCATAATTTTAAATTCTTAGTTTATTCTTAAAAAATTATGTCGGTCCCTTAAAGTATCAAGATGCTGTTTTTCGAGAAAACTTAGCAATTTTGAAACTAATCATGCTTTTACTTTCCTTAGGTCCAAATGATCTTTCAAAATGGTTTTCACTGATCCTTTTCATCTTCCAACGATGCCAGTAAGATCTCTGACTGCAAATCGTTGACTCTCAAGCATCAATTTCTTTATTTTATTGACGTGTTGATTATCAGTTGATTTATGGTCGTCCTGGTCGTGGTGCAAAGATCAACGCGTTCACGATCATCTTTGCATAATTTGTAGCAATCAAAAAAAAATTGCTCGCGACATACAATTATCACCGAAGATGTTTTCAAACGTTCTGAACATTTCTGAACCAGAAATTTGATTCCGCACACAAAATGTAATGGATGGTTGAATAATTTCAGTCATCGTAAAAATCACCGAATGAGCTTTTTGTACTTCAGAAAGACAACTAATATTATATATACATACATAAGTGTATTACTGACAAATTTAAATTAAAAAGTCTTACTATTTTTTGACCGCAGTTGTATACATATGTATATAACTCTATGACTATCTCGATTAGTTCTATGTTAGGTGAACAAAACTTGTATGAGCGTATAGATTAGAATCTTGCGAACAAAATCCGGCCAAGTAAAATAACAAATATTTTTAAAGGCTAGAATCACCAAATATGACTTACTGAGATCCGAGTTGAACTGTCCGTTTCACAGCAATAAGTAGCATTATGATTGTATTCATAATATATCTATGAAATGGATAAGAAGTCAGAGTTAATGAGTACCTATTGCATATACGTAAATAAACGAAACGAAACAAACAGAAAGTTAGAAATATGAAACCAATAATTTACTTCAGCATATTGATGAATTTTTATTAGAACGAATTGAATGTTGCTTGCTTTGCATCCATAATCACCACAGGGGTCTTATTAATCACATGTGCCACATTTGTTGAATTACAGAAGGGTTGTCAATTAACTTGAGTTTAGCCTTTTGTATGCTAATTCAATCACGATTTACTGTAACATAAAAATTTGTCAAATGGTGGTGGATAATTCAGAAAAAAATCGTAATAAATATGTAGGGAACAAGAGAACTGGAAAAAGCGTGGGAAAAATATGAAACTAATAGGATTTCATTCATAATAATTTCCGTTTCTTAATTAAAAATATTGAGGGATAAATTTTGA